GTCACTGTTACACGGTTTTGGCCACCTTGGTGTTCCTATTTCCAAGCTTAAGTGTGGAAAAAGTGTCTCTTTCTACTTAGTTTTCAAACTGGGAGTCCCGTGCTAGTTCCGTAAGTTTTCACAACTCACGTTGGTCACTCCCGAGGTGTTTAAGGTGTTCCCGGCCCTTCTTGCGACTGTTACATGATTTTGGCACCCCGATGACCTACTTCCAAGCTTAAGTGTTAGAAAAGTGTATTTTCCGACCTAGTTTTCAAATCGGGAGTCTCGTGCCTGTTCGTTAAGTTTTCACAACTCAAATTGGTCCCTCCTGGGATGTTCGAGGTGTTTCCCAGGCCTTCTCGTGACTGTTACACGATTTCCGCCCGCCGAGGACTATTCTCAAACTTAAGTGTGAAAATAGTACCTTTTCCGACCTAGTTTTCAAACCCTAAGTCCCGCGCTAGTTCCATAAGTTTTTCCAACTTGCATTGGTTTCTCCCGAGGTGTTCCATGGGCCATCTCGGGACTGTTACAGGATTTTGGGGGGCCCCTGATGGCCTATTTTCAAACTTAAGTGTTTAAGAAGTGCATTTTTTGACTTAGTTTTCAAACCGGGATTCCCATGCGAGTTCCGTAAGTTTCCACAAGTCGCGTTTGCCCCTCCCTAGGTGTTTGCGGTGTTCCCCGGATCTTCTCTTGACTGTCACACGATTTTGGCCCCCCGATGGACTATTTTCAAGCTTAGGTGCGACAAAAGTGCTGCTTCGGACTTAGTTTTCAAACCGGGAGTCCCGTGTTAGTTCCGTAAGTTTTCACAACTTACATTGGTGTCTCTCGGGGTGTTTGACGTGTTCCCCGGGCTTTCTCGTGACTGTTACATGGTTTTGGCCCCCAACGGCTTATTTTCGAGCTTAAGCGTGAAAAAAGTGCATTTTTTGATTTAGCTCTCACACCGAGAGTCCCGTGCTAGTTTCGTAAGTCTCCGCAACTTACCTTGGACCCTCCTGAGGTGTTTGGGGCATTTCCCGGTCCTTCTCGTGACTATTACACGGTTTTGGCACCCCCGGTGGTCCTATTTCCAAGCTTAAGTGTGGAAAAAGTGTCTCTTTCCAACTAAGTTTTCAAATCGGGAGTCCCGTGCTAGTTCTGTAAGTTTTCACAACTTACATTGGTCCCTCCCTGGGTGTTCGACGTGTTCCCGGGGCCTTCTCGTGACTATTACACGATTTTAACCCCCGACGGCTTATTTTCGAGCTTAAGTGTGAAAAAAGTGCATTTTTTGATTTTGTTCTCAAACCGAGAGTCCCGTGCTAGTTCCGTAAGTTTCACAACTTACATTGGTCCCTCCCTGGGTGTTCGACGTGTTCCCGGGGCCTTCTCGTGACTATTACACGATTTTAACCCCCGACGGCTTATTTTCGAGCTTAAGTGTGAAAAAAGTGCATTTTTGG